ATTAGGCGTTAACCTAACTATGAATATTATATAACTAGTTTGTATTTAGCCATAAAAGGTTATATCCACTATAGGTAGCATTGTTTTGTACTGAAGTGATATATTATTATGTAACGTATAAGAGAAAATTTATGTGAGTAACAATTGACGTTAATAGTCTTTTCTAGCGGCTTTTTGAACGTATACACGAACATTGTATAATACCATATTAAGTAGGCACAAAATCTTCATAAGTAAAACGATGGGTGTCTCTTCTTAGCATGGTGACAAAACCATGTCGTACTTAATACTGATTTATGATGTCTCTGTTATATGGTTGACGGATAAGTTTCTGTAAACGGAATGCGCAATCGCAGACCCAAATGTGAACAAAGTTATAATCCATGTTGTCGAGTAATATCTAAATGGTGCTTTCCAATTTTTCTTGCTAATACCAAATGTCTAGACGAAATACTATGAAGATGACACAAGTATTCAGTGTTTGACAACGCTTTTACCAGTAACACCTAAAATAATTTGTAGCCACCGAGAGAAATCAAAAGACCGAGTCGAGGAGGTCGGAAGAGTATATTTGGCGATAACCAATATATCGGTATGTCGTCAGTAGCCATAGGGATTTGGTTATACGCTTTAACCAAGTCGATTTTCGAAAAGACAGTTGTACCTTTCAAGGTAGCTGTCAAATCGTGAACAGAGCCAAAGTGTACACTACAAAACAGAGAATGCTAAATTAATGCTTCTGGTATCGATTTCATGCTTTTTAATGTAGAATAAGATGACATATATGAAAAAGCTTGATGCTCATGTAATTCAACCAACCCACGGCAATTGAAATACGGAATGACCGCCTCTAGTCAGGCCGTTCAAAGTCGTTGAAAAGAAAGGGTGGGGACATTCGAAAGGATCTAACGTTTAAACCGTGCCCAATATATTCGTTTGTGCTTGTGTCGTAGTTCTGGATTCAGTTGCGTTAATTCTGGGATTCCTAGTTCATACGATAATTCAAATACTTTCAAACATTATACTGGCGTCGCGATAGAGCCTGCGATGGAAAAATTAGATATTCGTTCAACTACTGAAGCTTTTGAGGATAACTTTGAAAGGTTCGAAATTTGTGCTATGACCAAGGAAGATGATGAGATTGTTAATATTGTGGCACATTTCCTTACATTCATCGGAAAAGAAGCATATAGCTTATTAAGAACTCTGGCTTTACCGGGTAAGCCCATTTCGCTTCCTTATACAACTCTCAAGGAACTACTACTAGACAATGTCAAGTATGTAAATATTGATTGCAGTAAAGGGGAAAATTTCGTGAAATGATTCACCAGGACATCACAGCGGGTTTATGACTAAACGCTCATGTTTCACATCGCACCTGGAGTTTTTAGATCAAATTACCCAGAGAAGAGATGTTGGTCAGTCAGTGATAATTCTTTACTTCGATTTTAGTAAGGCTTTCGACAGTGTCTCACACAAACTTCTTCTTTTAAAACTCTCTTCATTTGGCATACAGAATCCCCTTTTATCTTGGCTCAAATCTTTTTTAGAAGAACGTAGCCAAATCGTTCGCTTTGGATCTTGCTACTCTAAACCTGTGAATGTAACCAGTGGGGTTATACAAGGAAGTGTGGTTGGTCCATTACTCTTTCTCCTTTTTATCAATGATGTGTGTTCCCTCTTTCAGTATGGTAAGCCTTTTCTTTTTGCTGATGACCTGAAAGTAGTTTATTCATTCTCTTCTCCCACGAAAGAAAGCTATATTTCAGCGGTAATCCAAGAGGAAATAAACAAGTTGTACGAATGGACTATTTCGTGGAATATGCCACTTAATGTTGACAAAAGTGGATTTATTCACATTGGTCGCTGTCTTAACTTAAATCTGACTGTACAGACACATACACTCAAACCTCTTAACACTGTTCGTGACCTGGGTTTAAGATATAGCAACAGTCTGAACTTTTCAAGTATCCAAAGCTAGAAAGCTCATCGGATTGATAATGATAAACTTCAATAATATCGAATCGAGATTGTTACTATACAGAAAATGTATCTTACCCATTCTTGAATATGGTATTTTAGTTTACAGTAATTGTAGACATACTGACCTGATTAGAATTGAAGGTGTTCAAAGAAAGTTCACCAAAGCTGTTCTGGGGTATTCCGATAACAAAGACTATTACCAAAGATGTCAACAACTCAACTTAGAGCCTCTTTGGATCAGACGTATCAAATTAAATCTTGTCTTTATCTACCGGCTTATTAACGGTATTTCCTACTCTTCGGTATCCACCCCTTCATACCTTATGATATCATCCCACAATCTACGCAATAAGGAGAATATTCTAGCGATTCCAAGAACCCACACAAACTTACGTCAGAATTTTTTCCTTATTCGCTACTCAACCATGTGGAACAGACTGCCAGTGAACCTCCGTTGCAGTGAAACTACAACCCGGTTCAAAAGTCTCCTTGACGATTTTCTTTCCGAAAGTGGATTATGTCACCTATTGAATATCAATGTATTCAATAATGATTTATACAAACAAGGTCCGTCATCCATTTAATTGCTTGAAAAGCAAAATAAAACCTTTAAATCTTTCCACATCTATTTTATTTTATTTCTATTTATCTTAATATATGAAATCTGATTATGTTCGTGTTTATCATTATTTCCGTTATTAATATCATTATTAGTTCCCTGACACATTAGATATTCTTTTTATATCCTCTTATCCTTCTAAACATATTTAACTCCAGATTGTCCTTTAAAATCAATTTTGACTTTCATAGCATCAATCTTAATTATTATTGCACAAATATTTATACTAATATCCGGTTTCACTCTGTATACTATTACATAAATCTAAATGTATTCATCCGAGTGCATTAACGGATTTTTATTTTATTTTTCAATTGTTGGTTTCCTTCTGAGGTTGATATTCATTACACAATTATTATTCTTATCATGGATCAAAACTTTTCACTAGGTGTTCACTTCTTTTCTCTCTTCTTTCCCTCTAAATAAATATTATTCTTAAGATTACGAAGTTTGTAATTAAAACAATAACTTGTGTTACACTTAAATTAAATTCTCAGACCCGTTTTATCTTCACTATGCATATATGACTCATACATATTGATATTTTATTATCCTTTTCATTTAATTGTAACTTTCATAGCATCACTCTAAACTATAACTGCACAAACATATATTCTAGCGTCATATCTTACTGCAATTATAAGTTATTTTTTCTTAATTATTTTTTGTTACTAATTTAACGATACACACATAGTCGTTTATTCTTGTTCTGTGTTCGTAAACACGCCTATTATACTGTTTGCGTATTTCACGTCTCCTTTATTTCTATTCCCTTATTTTCTGCATTTCCTTCTTTAGACTCAATTCAATATTCTTCTCAATTGCACAGACCCGATTTATTATTATTATTATTAATATTCTACTATTATTGCTCTAAATTTCTTTTTAATGGCAAGTAGAATGCTGACATTATTGAAAATTGTGTATTATTGCATTTTTTGAAGAAACCCGAAATGGTTTCTTCACAACACTTATGTACCCATAAGATGTTTGTGAATAATAATAATAATAATAACGTCATCCCAACCCACTGCATACTCAAGAATATTCAGATAATTCATTAAGGAGTTGTGATGCATTTCACGAAGATTGGCACAAGTTTGGTCAGTGTTTGTCCTGTGGCAAGTTCTACTCTTTTAGTCCATGTAAATTTCGTAATTCTAAGTGCTTTAAATGTGGTGATATTGTACATATTCAACCAGTCCGTAATACTGATGTTCATCTTATTGCAACTAATATTAAGTCTTGTAATTCTGATTCTACTGAGTCGAGTATTCATGATGATCATCCATCTTTATCAACGATTTTAAAAGACAGTGTAGAGTCATATAGCAGTTCAGAGTTAAATTAAACTCAAAATTCTTGCGAGACAACGGTTTCTAGTCAATCGATTTGTCAGAATTCTCATGTTATTGTACCAGGTATGGTTTTTCCTAATGATTCACATATTTCTGATGAAATTCCTTGCACATGTGGAGGAAATATGTTGAACGAACCTAGTCGTGATCCAAAACCTGATGTAGTTTTAATGATGCTAATTTTTCTAGTGATCCATTACTCTACAATAACATTCTTAATAAATTTCATGAAAACATTTCAGAAGAATCAAATCATGATGTCATATCATATATTACATATCCTAATAATGCATTTGCTCCTTGTGGGAAACTTGTTCAGTGCGAAGCACGAGTACTAAATGATCTCGATTTCGATTACAATTTGGACGATTTCATATCAACTGCTGTTTATCCTTATCACAAAGTCACTTCTACTGTTTACTGTAGTCCACGTGAGAAATATGTTTTAAATGAAGTCATATCATTCATAACTTGGGGATATAAAGATCCGACATTATTTCGTGGTGGAGGATAGTGTTGGGAAATCTGTGCTTTAAACTTTAAACAGTGGTTTCGGTACACAACCGACACGGCGATTGTATACAATCTCAGTAAGCAGATGGGTCTGTTCCGATTTCGGTTGTTAATTCTAATGCTAATGAGCACATTCTAGATAATACAAAGTCTTTATCCAATACGCTGTCCGACAGACACAGGATGAACTTGAGAAGAGGGCGTACAATTGATTACAGACACTTAGACTCCAATCTAAGCTGTGATGGATGTGGTGTTTGGACGAACTAACGATTCCTTTGTACTCGTTGAGTGCTCGATTTTGAATTCTAGATACAGCACATTCGCTTGTGCTTATCTAGTGCTTCTTGACCCAATTACGTTATTTCTGGAATTCTTAGTTCATATTATAATTCAAATACTCCTAACTGTCATAGGGCCGCGATTATACAAACTAAAAGTGCATTCCGAATAGGATCAACCAGAAGTCAGTATATGCGGCTTGATTGTTCGCTAGTTGATATAAAGTGCGGAAAACATAATCTAGAATGTTGCGATGGCAAACTCCAGGTTCGATCATTGTTGGGGTGGCATGAGAAACTTGATGTGTATTACCCGACCGTCAAGTCACTTCTCATCCTTCAGTAACTCGGCAAGAATAATCATAGTTTGTGTGGTCGATTATAGAAAGGTCTGATTTTTAATCTTTTAACCAATTTTGTTGCACATCTCTGTGGAATTCACTGAAAGATTCGTGGTAACGGAAGGTTTGACGTTTAAAAACTGGAGGGTTTCCCGAAGTTTCTAGACGGTTTATAATGGATGTCGTTGTGCAGGCATAAACTAAGGTTTTTCGTCTCTCGCGAACTAGAAGCAAATGCTTTTCGTCACAGGTTGCTTTGTGGAGTTTTCAACCGTCAGTGATCATGCTGAAGGGTAGGAATGCGAGAGTACTACAGAGATCTGTAGTTTCGGATAGGCGTAAAAATTCTAAACTCAAAAACTTTAGTTGCATGTTTTGACATAATAACAATAAAATGTATAACTGCTGAAAAATATCTCGGTATACGAAAAGGATATCCCATATAGTATTACAACAGTGAACAGGCTGACAATATATCGTTTAGTGTAATAGATCACAAAGATTTGGACCGTGAAACCTTTATAATGAAGGACTTCAAACCAAGCCAAAGTAAAAACTAACTTGAAATATTTGATGCTTTTCCCTATGTCATGTGATAGAACGCGAGGCGATATTATATTAACGATTAAGAAATTACCGTTATCTTGCACCTCCCAGAATTTAGCATCACCGAGGTCTTAGCAGGAGTGTTTAAAAAGCACGAATATATGAAGTAATATGGTCTATGAATGGAACGCTTAAGTCGAACAAGTGGTATCAGCCCCATCAGCAAGCCTTTTCAAGGAGAAGACGAATCTTCACTGAAAAAAGGGTCAGAGATTAATATATGCCTACAGATCTAATATTCTGTAGATGGCTGACCGAGCGCCTGAAAGTGTGTTCAGTAAAAGTGTTGTCAGCACCTATGTCGAAGACTGGCAGAATTATATATTTTGCAGATTTACCTACCGTTAAAAATATACCAAAGTCCATACTTGGAAAAATTAGTGGTACGAAAACCGGTTAAGAGAAAGGTTGTTAAATTCGATTCACAAATGTTTTGCGTCTTTGACATGATTCCGTCACATAAGCTTATTCGCGCGTGATATAAATGTCTTGCTGAAGGAGACCTGCCTATCGCTCACGCAGTTGTATTCTTTGAAGTTTTTGAAAATAGTAGGTACCTATGTCCTGAATACAATTTCGTTTCAAAAGGACCAAATACTTTTCCCTCATCAAGTATGTATATATTCGTCGTAGCACTACTTTTAAGTAGTTTTAAATGACTGAACCTAATCTCCCAGGTTTGGGGAAATCTTTAAAGTCACTTGACCTTTACCAAGGTTAAAGGGAAATTTCCCCATGTCTTGAGGAAGTTTTGGGATTTAAGTCCCATTTCCCAAAGTTTACTATGCCGGCTTCCCCAAAAATCGGGAGCTCGGGAATAAAGCCTCGAAATTTCACTAAGTTCGGAGGATTAGGGTTTAATATAACAAAAATCCTAACTCAAGTTCTGTCATTAGTCTGTACATCTCGTTTATTCCCGCTGTTGTTAATGCTTGTTCTTTGAAGATTGGTATAATAAAATCCTCACGTGTTCAGCTCAGCACGGTACCCGAGCAATTTGAGTATGCAGACTGAATGTTTATCAACGTAGGATAGGCAATATATTAATTATCCTTATCCACTGACTACCTTGACGCGCAACTACAACTGGTGTAAGAGTAGGTTAAAAGAAAGCTATGGGACACCAGTCCATGTGATCATCAACTGTTGAACTTAAACATCTAGGTAGGTGGAGGCTACCTGCTGTGGTTCACAAGGTTATCATAACCAATGATCGGAGACTTAGTGACATGATTCAGATGCTTTTTGTCTTCCCTTAGGTCTACGGTTTCTAACTTACCGTACAAATTCGTCTTTTGCCACTAGTGCATATTTTCCTCCAAAATCGTATCTTCGGTGATACGATTTTGCGGGCATTGACCGATGTCTTATCTTTTGTGTTGGCACAGCTGTTGTGACTACCTCTATTCTTGTAAGAATGGTCCTGAAAATTTTATCTCGCTGAACTACTGGAGTTCGTCAGCTAGAACTAATGTATGCATTTGGGAGGATCTATGTTGAATATGACTGACTATACCTTTTATGTTGGCAATATATTTGCTTTTGTAATAGACCACCATCACTAACCTTAGACTTATTTAGTGCTTTTCGAAGCAGCGTTAGAAACTAATATTACCCTCAGTAGTATGATGGGTTCAAATTGGTGAATGGTTCAGTAAGCTCGTTTGTATTTCTTTTGTTTCTAGTTGCACTCTATTATTGATTAAGTAATAAATCAACAAATAGTATCAATCCCTCTGACTAGGTAATGAATGTTAATAGTAGAAATAGAATGTCTTATTAAGTACATAAATGTATGAGTGCCGTGATGTATTTGAAGCGAAATCTGATTTAGAGACCAGTCTCCTATCTGAAGATTTCGTAATCTGAGCACTTGCATTTATGCATTTTTAATAATGAAATGTAACACTATTCTTCGTTTCTAGGGTATGATATGCTCAAAACACACTTCTAGTAAGTCTCGATTACTTCTATTTGCAGATTTGTTCTACAATGTGTTTCGCTGGGCTTCCAGTCAGGTGGTTTTCAATAGTACAAATATACCAGACTTAAAAGGACCAAGATCTTTAAATGCTGTTACCGAGAAAACTCCACAACCAAATATGTAATTCTTATATTTCAGCCTGACTGAATGAAGTTTGGGCCATCATGTTATTACAGAGGAGTGTTTGACTTCATTAGTGGAAGATAAACAATATTACGAAACCCCCATTCTTCATTTGCTCTCACGAAGAAACAACGTGATTGCAACACTAACTGATTGTAATGGACGAGTTCTGAATGGCACTAGTTGTGGTGCTGAAGGTTTCCGGAACGCTCGTAAAATGTCTACTGTTGCTTTTCAAACTGTGGGTATATCCATAGGACTGAAGGCGAAAAAACTTGGGATTGGGCTGTGCGTGTTGTATTTAATGGGCTAGGGTCATGTAGGTTGGTAAGTATTTCCTTGCTTTTTGGTTAATCTAATAGCCTGTGCTCTCAGGTTTGAATATCTCGGGACTAAAGATGATCTCTTTGACGGATGATACAAAAGTTCATTATGGCCATGGGAGAAGACCTAGAAAACAACGTAGGATTTAAAAGGAACTTTCGCATCCCTCCTAATGTAATCGTAGTATTGGGAGTGTACATAATATAAACCCTAAATTTCGGCTTATTTATTTGTGTCCTCTGTGTGTAGTTGCAAATTACTTTTCAAATTTGCGTTAATGAAACGTTGAAAGATTCTATTTACTGGTCAGAATGTTAGTCAAATTGTCACATTTGATGTAAAAATGCATCGCTCCTAATGAAGTGTATCTTATCAAAAATCCCAAAGTTTCTAGAAACTCAAGGCAATTAAAAAAGATGCTTAATTAGTTCTGTCCTAAGTTCTTCTCAATAAAAGTTAACATGAACTACCAAATAATTGTATTACTGATTGCCGTATACTTATGCTAGGTGAGTATTGGAGTAAGAGTCCTTGAAATGCCGCCGGTCACTTGTTATTACTTCAATTTTACTAGGGCCCAACTTTTATATGTACTAATTACTTCGAAAGTTACATGAACACGTGAGAAAAAGTGAAATCAAACAAAACGCGCAGTCGCAAGGCGCACCATGGAACAATGGTTTGTGTAAATGCAATCGGACCCAGATAATTTCAAATGAAGCGCGGTAACCAGCCCCATATCTTTTACCTTTTGAGAGTACTATCTGCACATTCTATTTCGGTTAAAGATCTTACTAGTCTTGGATACAAAATAGTAACGTTTATTGCCAGTTACGTAACTTAGCTTCGGTACTAAGCATATGTTTCTAAGTTGTGGTTCAAGTTGACATTCTGAGATCTGATTAAGCTTGCGACACTGAAAATATGCAGGGTCAGAAGTTAATTAATAATTATACTAAAGAGATCAATAAGATCGGTTATTGACACTAGGGATAAATCTATCTGTTATATATTCAAAAATGTTTATTCGATGGTAGTATTTATTTGATCAGTTACTGCATTAAGTGGTGCAATCATGCTAAGTATAATTGCATCTAACCTTTCCTTAACCTACTGTCTTGGAGAGAAACATCAAGGCATTCATTCTGATGAAAGCTACTGGCAGGTTCACGCATTTGTTCCTTCAAATTACGAGTTTATGTGCTCTAGTGATTTGGAATCCTAGATCACCAACATTTTTAGGCACGCTCTCCGTATCCATCAATACAGTTAGAACCTATAATAAACAACTTCGCCTTATTACTTTCATCACTCGAAGATAAACCCTATTGTGTAGGAAATTATTGACAAGACATTACAAAAGCTGTGGAAACAGCAGTGGTTTCTCTTGGCACTTTAAACCAAAAGATTACAAATCAGCGGCGTTTGCTGAACTAGCTGGTAGTTGCCCTAAAACTCCCATCTAGTTGCGAACATGAGAAGCGGAGGCAGCTCAAACGTAAGCTGACAAATAACCTACACAGTGATCATGGGCAGTGGTGAGTAGCGAATGCAGAGGAGATGGAAGACAGCGGCGATGAGTGATACTAGACAACTGTTCATAATTGTCAAAGAATAATATTACGAATCTGACTATTATTTAGACTATCTCGGAGAAAGTGGGAACTGTTATTTACTCTTAGTCCAGGAGATTGGACTGGCGGAGAGCAGTTAGGCTAGCTAAAATCTTGGGACTGGACGCGATCCCATCTAACTGGTGTCGACTGCTGGTTGTCACAATCTGTAAGCAAAGATAGAAATCGTCTTACGACAATCACAGGCGAGTCAGGTTAATTAGTATAGTGTCTAAAATATTAGCTTCAGTAATACTTTGACACGTAACTAGAGATCATAAAGAACAAAGCCGAGATCAGCCGGTTTAAGATTTGCGTGTGTATACACTGTCAATTTCTGGGACGTAGACATACTGTCCAACGTCCCGTTATAGTTTTATTAACCTACGCTGGGACAGTGTTCGACCTCGTTGACCGTGAGGTTCTGTGACTGGCACTGGAAGGAGTACAAGACAATCACACTAACATTGTTTAGGTCTTCTACACGAACAATGCTGATAAAGTCAGGGCTTATAGCGAAACCTAATCGGGACTGGTTATTGCGCAACAGTTCGTTCCGTTCTAGTTTGTAGACGCGAAACATGGCCAGTAAGAGTAGAGGATATTTGCATTCGGTCATAGGTTCTTTCGAAGTACTGCTCGCGTATTTCGCAACCAGAGTTAAACAATCCCTAGGTTGGGAATAGAGGACTAAATAAAGATGGGAAGTAGATCGATGAGGTAGTGAATCTTCATCAAGTGAGTTAACTGAAACATGTGTTACGTATGCCCAAACACTGCCTACCTCGACTGCCGATGTAGTCTTGTGCAGCAGCAGATTGGAAGAAAGCTAGGAACAGGCAAACCAAAATATAGCACCAGTCCATGGTGTCAGTGAAAACTAGACCGAGCCATAGTGACAGATGTAGACCATCACGTTGGGGTCCGTACGATTGTCGTAACTAGTGGTTGCAGGTGCATCCGTCCTTTATCTTCCGCGAACTCTGACTAAAAGGTCAAAGTCGCACAGTGCACGACAAACTCATGTCACACATAAGTAGCCCTTTGCAATATGTAAGATAGTAACCATAGCTCATAAACTTTATTGCGCATATTTGATAAAAACAAACTAACAGAAAATTATGTTTGGTTGTAAATTTAATAAGAAGACGCATCATTTTCCCCACATATCGTTACATCCATATTCATTGTATAATCTCGCTGAGTATCAGTTTGCTCGTAATTCTTATGTGGGAAACTGTAACCTAAACAGCAAAATGTGAAAGCAGTAAAAACTAAACGTTACGGGATGCAGAAAATGGTATTAAAATAGTTACGTTAACTTAATTGCTCTATTCACTGAAAACGTTACGCCGTAATTAAATTTCGCCCATGAGCTTTAGAATTTTGACAGTAAATGTCTGGCCTTCTATTTATGGTCTCACATATATAAGTGACGTCCTCTGATTAGGCTTAGAGAACTAGACAACATGGCCTAACTGTATGTTCGAAATGCAGTGCGACTGCCTCGTAATTAATGCGATTGAGTGACAACGTAATTACTTGGCTTCGAATCCTCCGTTTGTTTAAAGTCCAGTGTTACGGCCTTTTCTCTAGATAAAGTAGATTAAAAGATTATTGCTCATACACCATGGCAATTCAAGCAATATGTTAGCATCTCACTCATTTAGTATGGTTAGTTAGGAAGTTTACCAATGGCGAAGCTTGCGCGCTGAAACCTCTACCCATTATGATTCTCTCCTATAAACACGGTTATCGGAAACAGATGGGTAGCGTACATGTCTAACGTTTTGAAAGGATTTACAAAACTTTGCATAACAACGTCAAAGCAAGCCGCAAACTATTCAAATAAATAAGCAAGAGATATGAAAAAACTAAAGAGTAATATAATAAGCAAGATCGAAGTTAGGTTCCCGAGAACTCAGTTAACACGGAATGTATAAATATGTTTAGTGCAACATATAATTATAGTAGGACGGTTACGGCTTCAGAATTATACTTTTTGCACCATATATAGCGATTTCTACGATACATTTATTGCTCTCGTCAGCCTAACGATGTTTCGTAACAACTTTAAAGCTTAAGTGAGACTTGAATTAATAGAAAGGGTGCGCTTTTGGTTTACTCTCCAAATGCATGTGATGCAATTTTAACTACGGAGTGGCAACCTAGGGATGTTTAGCATGAGCTGGGTGTAGGACACATTGGTAAGACAAAGCGTTCGTAACAAAAGGCTTATTATATACAGAGCCACAGATGATACTTAACAACCTGACACCAAGAGTTTGGGCATCTAGAGATTTGCGTGTTAGCAGCTAGTAGTGCCCTTAGTTTCAACTCTCCAAACCGATGTCTATAATTACTGAGTGTGGTTTGAGTATTTGCGAATCTAACAATCCTAGTGAATTAATTGTAAGGCTTGGAAAAGGTTATTAACAAACATTCTACATGGATGATAGTACTCACTTTCCTTTCTTACAAGAGATGAAATCACACTAGTATCAAGTGCAGACACGCGTAAGCGACTTGCATCCAAAACATTACATCCCTGAAATTGAGTATCTATATCACTCGACAAATTAAGTTGTTCATCGGATGAGGTGTTTGACTGGTGAGTTTTTGGAATAATCGCAGGAATCTCATCTTTTCCCGCAATGCATACATTTTTTGGGGAAGATATCCTTGTTTCTTCACTTTCTACCTGTATGTTTATGTAGAAAACTGAATTACAACTTACTGCTGATGCACTAAGTGCGTTTTTTAGTGTTTCCACAAGAGACATGTTGTAGGAACTAGATATTTCTTCGGCCCTAGTAGACGTAGTAAAGAGAATCTTGGCAACTTACATTTCTCTTATCACGTCAGGGATCGCTGTGGAAGTTTAGGGTTTAAAGAAGGGGCTACTTACCGGTCAACTTAAAGTTTTCGGCGCATTTCGCTTTCCACAACTCGATAAAAGCATGTAGCTTTTCATTTTGTGTTATATGTCGGTTGTAATCATCTAGCCTTTGTTTGTATTCCAGGATAAAGTCAGTTCTTTCTTTCCTAATGTACAGAAACTATTCATTTAGTCAAGAGAAGTCTCATTAAAACATATGCCGTGAAACAGGATGCTTCCAAAACAAAAATATTTGCCTGATAATAATCACGCAAAAAAGACATAGAATTGTCCGTCCTGCACCATGTTGTTGACTGGACTATATTGAATCAGACCCAGCATCCGGTCGTTTATACGATCGAACTGAGAAGTCCTTGCCGCTCCGTCAGTTCATAGATGTGCACAAAATAACAAGTAGTTCTACACCTTACTTTGAGGAAAACCTTTTGTATGGGTATTAATTATACTACCCGGACAAGTAATTATACGTTTTTAACTGGGGTTTAATGACTACCGCTTGAACCCCCCTGCAGCCACAGCGACCTGGAAAGCAATACAAATACTAC